ACACACACACACACACACACGCGCGCGCGCATTTACGTGTTTCTAAGTCCTTATGATGTGGACATTGCCCCAGACCCACATTATGTGGACACCCCATATCATTTAAAGTTATGAGTTGAATCATTTAATATTAAATTGCAGTATAAGTCCACGATATAAAAACATCATTGTCCTCCAAATTTAGAGAAGCTGCCTAAAATTTTAGTCCAGTCTGTGTTTTTTACTAAAGTTAGTTGGACATTGCATTATTTGGACTCCATGAACCCCTGACCTTTTGCACAAAGGTACACAAATGGTGGACTATTGGGACTTCCTGAACATAAATGGTTTTAAAGGGCTTTGGGTGCCTATAATGTTTATTAATTCGCACTTGGCTTGCGGATATAAATAGACCCACTGTCGCTGGGATCCATGTGCAACATCTTATTTGGTGCATTTTCTCTTCACCTTCCTTCTTTCTCCTTCCTCTATCAATTCTTCCCCCGCTTACCCTATGTGCAGCAAAACTAGAGGTCGTGCATCACACAGAGAGGCCCCTCGTTGACCATGAGGTGCGACCTGTGCGGAGGGAAACCGGGATACCTGGTAGTTGAAGTGAGATCAGTCTGCAGACTGTCCCTCTTTTTCCTCTTATACGGGAGGGTGGACGGCCCATGCCACTCAATCGGTTGGGAGCTGAAGCTCCTCCAGTTTATCCTTGGGTCAATCTTGATGGGAGGGTGTCGTACCCTTTCGAGGAGAGTATAACCCCAGAGTAGGCATGGCTCAGCTCTGGTCATCCGAGCAATCTTTGACTCGGTGGTAGCCGGGGAGCCCCGGAGTCGAAAAGCATTCCAACATACATTGAATCCCCAAAAACATTCTGACCCACCCCCAGTCCCCAACTATACTAAGAAGTTTCGAGTAGGGCCCCCGAGCCGAGCTGACAACCAGGAAAACCGACCTTTACGACTGCTTCTGCTCTACCTCCTCACAGGGAGCCTTCGGAGCAGCCGTGCTTGACCATTCACAACGTTGATGCACAGAAGATCACAGATCTAACCTTTTTCATGACAGGGGATGCTTTAACACAGACACTGGGATACATCCCTAGCAATGTCCAAAAACTGTCTTCTAGTGCACTCCTTGCATCTGAAAAAGAAATGATTGGACCCCTGGATATCATGACCGTCGGCGTCAGTCATGAGGGGAAAGGCTGCTCTTCAGAAAAAAACCATTGTGGCTATATTGTAAGAGTGTGGCCGAAGCCTGCCAGATGACTCTTCGGCGGGGCAAAACCACCCTTAAAAGAAGAACAATTGTTTGACTTTCAATTTGCGCTGCCCTCCAGCCACTGCTCAGGCATCATACTTGTTCCTGGATGTGCGACCCAATGTGCTAAACCCTCTGTGCTGCTTCAAGTGTCATAAGATTGGCCATAGCCAGTCGTGATGCCGACACGTAGATGTGTGTACTCGTTGTGGTAAGACAGGGCATCCTGAAAATGTATGAAAGGCTAGTCCTTTCTCTCCCAATTGCTCCCCCAACGAGAAACCGTTCTGTGTCAGATGCAAAACAGATTTTACCTTCAGACACATTCGAATGTCCGGACTTTGGAGAGACCCAAAGTAAATATTTTAAATGAACAAAATTAAAAGGTCTGTTCGCCGCCCTTGATCCAAATAGAATTCTCGAATTTATAAAAGTCATTAGCCTGTATTGTAAAGTGTAGATGATTTTTGTTTTAAAATTTAAACTGCTGTTTTTATTTTCTAATCTTTTTAAAACAAGATTTTTTTAAACCATGCCATGTTTAGCTTTACTTTTAAAGTAAAATAAAGCCGTGCAGTGAGGTGTTGTGAATGCAATCAATCTGTGTTTCGTGCGTGCATGTAACCTTAAGAAGCTACGAGCCCCGTAAAACTCTTATTAAACTAACTAAAGAGAGCTGCCCCTTGGGGTACAGCAGAGCAAGTTCCTAGATTCCAACTCGTAGCTGGATCCGCCACTTGCCGTCTCACATACACACACCCGGCGATACACAAATCAGAAAGTTACTGCAGTTATGTGGACACCACAAATTTTGCACACACTCGAAGTGTGTATAGCGTTGTGTATAGAAATAACGAAATCGCAGCGTTATTGAGACCCTACACACACACACACTGAAAAACTAGGTTTACATTCTGACTCCACTTTCAAACTTTTAGGCCTATTTTACACTGTTTGAATGTCCATCCACCCTGTTTGTTTGTTTGTTTGTTTGTTTGTTTGTTTGTTAGATTTCTTTTGCTTCTTTAACAATTTGAAAGATGCTCAGGAAATAACAAAAGAGGCACGTTGGTTGTTTTGTTGGGGGGAGGGGGGATGGGGGGTTGTCTGTATTTCTTTCTTTCTTTCTTTCTTTCTTTCTTTCTTTGCTTGTTGTTGTTTGTTTGTTGTTGTTTGTTTGTTTGTTTGTTTTTTGTTTGTTTTATAATCTTGATTGCTTGTTCTCCAGGTCCTGTGGTGGCTGGTGTGGTGGGTGTGAAGATGCCGCGATACTGTCTCTTCGGGGATACTGTCAACACAGCCTCACGCATGGAAAGTAACGGACAGGGTAGGTTACTGCAGTATAAAACTGTATACTTATTAGTCATTGTAATTCATTTCTAAAGTCTGCTTAAGTTAGTTTTGTGCTTAGATTAAAGACATTGAAGAGTTTTAGTCAGAGCTCAATTTTATTGTTTATTTTGCTACTTTAAATATTACATTACAAAGTTTTACCTGGCATTTTGAGTCGTTTTGAGTTACTAAGACCATGAGGTCAGAAACCAAATTAATAAGATCTATGCTCTATCTGCTTTATCAAAATCGTAAGACTGTTCGGAGCAGTTATAAAGATATCCAAACAATTGCATTCCAAAAGACTAAACCAAGTTGTAAACCAAAAGTTTTGATTGACGTCAAATTTCTCAAAATTAAATAATGAGCAGATAGTACTTTATAATTATAGGGTAACAATTGCTGTTACCTGTGTCTTTAACAAAGGGTTCAGAATATGTGTTTTTAATTTTATTAGGGCTTGAACGCTACATATGAATGCCATGCACTATTGTTATTATTTACTACATGTATTATTCAGGGTGTCTCAAAAGTCTCCAGACTGTTCTGCAGTGTATTTTAAAAAAATATGATGTAGAGTTGCATTGTTCTCAAAACAACATGATCTAAGTAGTCATTAACACTGTTTTCTTTACTTTATCTTAATCTGTTCATATGTGTGGGCCGGAGAAGGTATGGGAAACACTCCCACTTCGCATACTTCCTCATCCTACCTCCCCCCTTTCTGTCTTGTTAATACACACACACACATACACACACACATACACACCTACACACACTCATTTAATTACAATTATTATACACTCCCTCCCTTACAAGCACAATGCAGTCTCATGACTTTTGTAAACACACAACACTGCAATCTGACGACTTGAGACACCTGATATATTGAAATTAAAGTCTTTCACTTTCACATCGAAAGTGCAGAGCGTGTGGTCGATTTCAAGAGGTTGGTCTCAAGGCGACCCACTGGTCCAGAAATTTAGGTCGTTTTGTTTTTGTTTTCTTGCTGTTATTTCTACGTTTTCCCTTTACTCTAAAAGTTACTCTTGCATTATCATATTCACCCAGAAGGTGGTTGGAGAGCACCACCTGATCGGTCTTATTTTCTTTCCCTCTTAATCGCTATCCTTATAATGTATCATTTTTAAATTGCAAGATAGGAAATGGAAAGTCTCTGTTGGTTTGTGCAGGTGATTGTCTTGAACTGGTGGCTGTTAGAACAGGTTCGAAGGTGGGCACATTTTTTGTGGGTCTATTTCGTCTTATTTTTGCAAAATGATGCTGTCGAGGTTGGTTTTCTTGGGGAATGTAACCATTATTGTCATGACAGGTTGGTGGCAATTCTAGCTCAACTCCTTTCTTTAAAAAAAATAATTCTGCCGCTTCTTAATTACTTTTCACTTTCTTCTCAGCTAACAAAATCCACATCAGTGAAAGTACCAAGACACTGCTGGATCAAGTCGGCCGTTTTGAAGCCAGTCTAAGAGGAGAAGTGGAAATGAAGGTAGAGCCTGTGCCATGCCATTTAATTACATGTACAAGAACGGGTGTCGGCTTTAAAAAAATAATGATGACAATAAATAATATAATAGACGCAACCACCTCTTCCCCCTACCCTCTATCTTTATTTAACCTTTAAAGGGTCTTTTGTGCCCCTCTCTAAAAAGATAAATGAAGAAAAGAGGAAATTTTTGTTTTACAAAATCGAAAAACAGCTATTTAACCTTCCCCCCCAACCCTTCCCCCTCTCTGTTCACTAAAAGAGATAGAAGAGCGAAAATCGCATCTTTCTTGTTGCTGTAGGTAAAATAAAAAATTGATTTCCCGTATGTTCTTAGACAGATGGGTTACTTTAATAATACAAATAAAAATGTGTAACTCTAAAAGAGGGAAGTCTGTATAACTCTTTGTATACTATTATTTCCCCAGGGAAAAGGCGTCCAAACGACATACTGGCTCGTCCGTGAATTGATAGATAAAGACAAATCTAAAAACAAACAAACAAAGGAATTCAAGACGAAGGAGACGCACTCACAAACAGTAACATACCACTCAAAGGATACTCGAGAGGAAAGAGTTCGAGCCCAGAGCAACCAGCCTCCTGACAACTCCACTGCACTGACCTCTCTACCCGACGCACTGACAGAGACAGAAGCGCAGCTTAACATATCAACTACCTCTTTCAATCAGAACAGTGAAAGTTTGAATCATCTTTCCAGTGAAGACGCCCTGAGTCTCAATCCTGAGGTTTTACCACAATGGCATTCTACTCACGAACCAAATTATCCCAGTGATGACGTCAAACAGAATTATCTGAACCACCTGAACCAGACTGTTGTCACGTTCCACGGAGAAATCCAGCGTCCCGATGTAACATTGGGGAGTAACACAAACACAACAGAAGTAAAAGTAAGGCCGTCGATTCTAAAGAAAACCCAAAAGATAGAAAAACCTAAGTCGATGACAAGTTTAACCGGTTGCAGGAGAAACTCACTTCTTGATATTTTCGATATTGGAAACGGTCGGATTCCTCGTTGTGAGGAGCCTCTGGTAGAGGATGTGGTGGTTAATACTGTATCTGTTACCAATAGTTCGAATAATATCGACGGCTTTCTCAGTAAAGTTAAAGAATCCTTCGAAAAAGAACCAAACTTGAATAATATGCCAGAGTACTCCAACAAAACGGACAGCAACAAAAGCGTGCAGAGCCCTTCTGCTAAAGAAGTTTTACCAGAAAAGCTTAGCGGAGTGCAAGGGGACCGCTTTGTACTCCCTCATCCTAAAAACAGAATAATTGGCAGTTATTTCCACCCCCACATAACACACAGTGAAACAGAAGAAATTGCTTCTCTTAAAAAGTCACGGGATTGTCCTGATCTTCACGATCTCAGCTCTGCAGTGCATACGTTCGAAGGGGTAGATTTTAAAAACCATTCTGAAGTTTGAATGAATCGTATACGATCAAAGACCTGTCTTGTGATGTGACGTAGGCCTACCGTTAAATGAAAGAACTGTGCGCTCATTGGTCGTCGCGACTTCGTGTTTAAAATATAAATGTAGACTATATGAAGATTACAGTCCATAAACTCAAAACTACGTGTATTGATATGTGACTTATAGAATGTGTACAAGGTTCCGTGGTTTAGATCTACTTTTAAAAAGAAAAAACAACAACTGTCAAACCGACTGCCTGAGCCAGTAACAGGAAAGCGATCAAAGTCCAATGAGTTTTGAATTTTTATAGCTGATTGTCTCTAAACTTATACCGAGTTGTTATCACGGCGAGAAGGAACATGCGCACACTTAACAAGTTCGGCTGTCTGTAAGGAAGCTGGCAAATCTTTCGACCAGAATTCCGTCAATATAACAGTATAGTTAATAAAAAATTCAGAACTGTGCAGTAATTGTATTGCACTCTTCAGTTTGCTTCTTTTTAAGAGACAATGTAGTCAGTCAGATTTACTGAAACGTACACAAATGTCACTTTTCATTCGTCTATTGCTGACTAGATTCTGCATTCTGGAACCTTTTTTTGAAAGGGTGACCTTATTTACGCCACATATGGCCTATATAAGCTACGCCCCTCCCCGACCTAACCTTATTTGGACAATATATGGCCTATATAAGCTACCCCCGCCCCCGCCAACATGGCCTTATTTATGCCATAAAGAAAGTAAAAAAAAAACCCAAATAACTCTTCAAATAATAATCATTATACTTTACTTTACACGTGTATTATTATACTTTACTTTATGTTTTATTATACTTTACTTGAATTCATATTATGCTTTACTTTATGTTTTATTATACTTTACTTGAATTCATATTATACTTTACTTGAATTCATATTATACTTTACTTTATGTTTTATTATACTTTACTTGAATTCATATTATACTTTACTTTATGTTTTATTATACTTTACTTGAATTCATATTATACTTTACTTTATGTTTTATTATACTTTACTTGAATTCATATTATACTTTACTTTATGTATTATTATAGGCCTATTTTATTTTATGTATTATTATACTGTTAGGGCAAGGCAAAGTTAAAACGAAAATAAAAAACCCATGGCATGCTGACTAATTCGACATTATTCCAAGTACGTGTGTACTTCTACTTAAATTGTCGGGGTTTTGTTTGCTTGTTTGTTTTTCAATTTTTCAAAAAAATCTAATTTGTTTTTGTTGTCTTTTCGGTTAATCATCCCCGCATACATGTATTTGACGGAATCTGGGGTAACACCGCCTACTGGCAACTCTCAAATGCCTTTGTACTTTGAAGATTTGAGATGACAGATTCGAATGGCACGGTTATGTTGATTGGCTAGTCATAACTTATCTTAATTAGATCAAATACATACAGCAGTTTGTTAGTTTGTTTGTTTTAACTAGATTTCCAGAACAAACCGTGAATTCGAAAGGTCGAGACTCTACTGATCTCTTATTTGGTGAAGGGGGTTATTTCAAAACGTTTAATAAGGAAAATAGAGGGGTGGTTTTAAATGAAAAACGAATAAATGGTAGGAGTTGTGTGTGTCTATGTGTACGGGGAGGGTGTGTGTGTGTGTGAATGTGTGTGTGTGTGTGTGTGTGTGAGTGTGTGTGTG